TGTATAGTTTTTCATCCGCCTGAAGCACGCCTCTAATGTCTGCCAGATTGGATTGAATCAGCAATGCCCGCCTGAAGCATGCCGTCAACGCCCGCATGAAGCATGCTTCGATGTGGCGTTCGCTCAGTTGAAAAGCTCACATGAAATTTCAACTTCAACGGATTGCTATTGCTGGCCGAGAAAAAAAAAAAAGGCAATCTTTTTCCATACTTCAACTTCATTAATGGCTGCTTCTTTTCCATCAGACCCTTGTTGGAATTATGATGTATTCTTGAGCTTCAGAGGTGAAGACGTCCGCAATAATTTCCTCGCTCATCTCTATTCTGCTTTAAACCAGGTGGGATTCAGGACTTACAAAGATGACAGTGAGCTTGCAAGAGGGAGCGACATTGCCCCTAGCCTGCTAGAAGCCATCGAGCATTCCAGAATTGCAATTGTCGTGTTCTCCAAAAACTATGCTGATTCTAGATCGTGCCTGGACGAGCTTGTTAAGATCCTCGACTGCAGGGACAAGTTGGGGCAGATTGTTCTACCCATTTTCTTCCATGTGGATCCTTCGGACGTCCGCAAACAGAGGGGGAGCTTTGGCAAAGCATTTACTCGTGCTCATCACCAGAAGGCTACGGTAGACAAAGTAGAAAAGTGGAAGACTGCTCTTACCAATGCTGCCAATCTGGCTGGATTTGATCTACAAAGTGTAAACAGGTAATCTAATCATCTAGCCTTTGCTTGAATGATTATTTGGATAAATTTCTTCTGTTGTCGCCAAATTCTTATTCTTTTTAACTAGTCATTTTTTGAGCCATTTCGTACCGAAATACCTTTTCTCATGCCTACAATTACTTATTGATTTGGTAGAGGTAGCATAACATCCTTAGAGTGGACGTAGTTGGATTCCAACTCTAATGTTTAATCCTTTTCTCAACGACCAGGGATGAGTCCAAGTTGATCAAGAAAATTATTGAAGATATTTGGGAAAAATTGCATCCCACTTACCTCAGTGATGTGAACCACCTTTTTGGAATTGTGTCTCCGGTGGAGAGAATAATATCACTCTTGAGACTTGGCTCCAAAGATGTTCGTTTCATAGGAATCTATGGAATGCCTGGAATAGGAAAGACAACAGTTGCCAAGGTAATTAGGAATAGAATCTTTCCAGAATTTGATGGTAACAGCTTGCTTGAAGACGTCCAGCTAGGATCTAAACATGGTGGACTGGTTGAGTTACAAAAGAGACTTCTATATGACATCTTGAGAGTCCAAGGCTTGCACCTGAATAATATTGATGATGGAATTGATAAGATTAGAGGTCGATTGAAGTACAAAAAGGTTCTGATCATCCTAGATAATGTCGACCATTTGGACCAACTTGCAGCTCTTTCTAAAGAGAGAAGTTGGTTTGGCATTGGCAGTAGAATCATAGTAACATGTAGAGATGAACATTTGCTAAATGCTCATGGAGTGGATGTCAAGTATGAGGTCCCAAGTTTATGCTTTCCTTATGCTGAGCAACTCTTTTCTTGGCATGCCTTTCGACAACTTTGTCCACCAGATGATTATGCTGACTTTTCTCCTGAGATCATGAGATATGCTGGAGGACATCCATTGGCTCTTAAAGTTCTGGGTTCTTTCTTATCAGACAAAAATCTACTTGAGTGGACTAGTGCATTGGAGGAACTTAAAAGTACTCCCCATGGAGAGATTTTTGAAAGACTTAAAATATGTTTTGATTCACTGAATGATCATCAACAGTCCATTTTTCTCGACATTGCATTCTTCTTTGTAGGGATGGATGAAGATGATACAATTCAAATACTAGATGGTTGTGGCTTCCATACAAAAATCCATCTACGTAGTCTTATCCAAAAGTGCCTCTTAACAACAAGAGAAAAGAAGCTGAGAATGCATGATCTGCTTCAAGAGATGGCAAGAGAAATTGTTCGTAGAGAAAATCTTAGTGAACCTGGTGAACGCAGCAGGCTGTCTTTTTATAAGGATGTTCATAAGGTGCTGAAAGATAAAGAGGTAAACCCTGATAGCCTTTGCTTAGTGTCCAGCCTCCAATTCCTTGTTTAAGGAGTACATTGATTGTTATGTAAAACATTGTTATTGCTTATTGTCATCTGGGTTATCAGGGTACAAACAAAGTCATAGGCCTTAAGGGGTTCTTCCCAGAAACAAGGAAGAAACCATTTGATACTGAAGCACTTGCACGGATGAGCAAACTGAGAATACTCCAACTTAGAAATGCTAACTTTGTTGGAAAGTTTGAACATTTTTCTAAAGAGTTAAGATGGTTGTGTTGGGAAAGATATCCTCAGGTATCTATACAATCAAGTTTAAATCTCAAAAAATTGGTTGATCTGAGGTTAAGGAACAGCAAACTCAAATATATTTGGGATGTATCTAAGGTATGGCTGTGTATGTTTCTTGTTTCAGGTAGGATTATCCTTGACTAGAGTTGCTTTTTCTTTATATAAACATTAAATGATGCTCATCCTTCTTGCAGGTTCTTAAAAATCTGAAAGTCCTTGATCTCAGTCACTCGCTTGACTTAATTGGAACCTCAGACATCTCAGGTCTTTTAAACATTGAGAAATTGATCTTCAAAGGCTGCATTAATTTGATCGAGGTTCATCAGTCCATTGGCAATCTTAGCAAACTCATTTACCTGGACTTGGAAAACTGCCAGAACCTTGTTCATCTTCCTACAGAGATTTGTAAGTTAAGGTTCCTTGAGAATCTTAACTTGTATCTCTGCTCAAAACTAGAGGAGTTGCCAGAGGATTTTGGGAACATGGAAAGTTTGAAAGAGCTCAATATAGGCTGCACTGCCATCAAGCATTTACCCATGTCCATTGGCCATCTTAAGAATCTTACAAATTTCTTTTGGAACAATGAGAGATCTTTGCTTGAAAGTCCAGGTACCTACAATTTGTCTCCACTATGGAGTCTGACTTCTGTAAAAGAATTGAATCTGTCGTTCTGCAAACTATCAGATAACTCATTTCCCAGAGATCTCAGTGGCTTAGAAAATTTGGAGACGTTGCTTCTAAGAGGAAACACTTTTCATCACTTGCCAATTTTTCTATCAAATTTGCCAAAGTTAAAAAAGCTTGATGTTTCTAAATGTGATCTATCAGGCAGATCAGGTCCCTTGGTTGTTGCAAGCCCCTTTTTGCAGGAATTGAATTTAAACCAAAACAACTTCTGCAGCCTACCAGTTGATCTTACTTCCCTTCCTCTTAAAACCAAGGTTTTCCTAGTGCTGTGCAAGAAGCTCAAAGTAATAGAATCTGAATCACACACGATATTGATCACATACCATTGCAAATCTTTGGAGAAAGTAACATTCAAAGGAGGGCTCAGTAACAGAAGTCTTAGATCAATTTTTCCTAGGTTTGATGAATTAACTTCGATTCCGTACTGGTCCTATCTGAAACCTTTAACTGGCAAGCAACTTGCTAAGTTAGAGCACTTGTTGGGATTGAAGGCTTCACTAAAGAAGTGGTCGCATTTTTTCAAAGACTTCATACTTACTCGGAGTAAGGATCGTCCCATTCAGGTTACTCTCTTGCTCTCTTTGTCCTTTTCAAGTTTTCCCAAGTTAAGAAGACACAATTCTCATTTTTTATGTGGCAAGGCCTTTTTTTGTCTCAAATGAATTGTCCGTGTTGTAGGGTTTTTCTGATTATATGGAGCCGATTTATAACATTTTTCTTCCCAAAGGAACGATGCCCTATGGGTTTAATTACAAGCATAATGTTGCATGGACAACTGTAGATGTGCCTCAAGTTTCAAGTGGAAGTTTCCAAGGGCTTGCAGTATGTGTTTTTTATCATATTAGTAATCCTCTTCGTTTAGCTTTTGCTGTAACAATAGAGGATAAGGATTTTTCTCATCACTACCATGCCAACCTTTACGGGCCCTTTGGGGGCTTTGATGAAGATGAATTCATGTGGATCAGCTGCTGGAGAACACCAGGTTTGGTGAATGAGTGCAAGAGATTCAGTATTAAAGTAGAAATTAACGTTACTGACGGATCTGTCAGATCCCATTTCTGGATTGTGGATGGGATCGGTATCCGCCTCTTATCTGAAAAGGAGCTAGACCTAGTCACAGATATCTGGTAAGTCCTTAACCTCTATAGTTTTACACACCGTTGTTGAAGTTTTGAAGTCTTACCAAATATTTCAATTGCAGGAGAAAATCCACCTGGATTGGTGATATGGAGCCAAGTGCTGACCCTGTGTTTTTGAACAGGTATTTATTTGAAAATTTTTCTCAGAGTTTCAATTAAAATTAATTTCCAATAAATTCAATTTTCAAAAACAAAATGAGAAATTAATTGGATGAAAGAAATAAAATAAAGGCAAAACCATAAATTAAGCCCCTAGACTTTAATTGATGCAGTTAAACCCTTGAACTCTGGGATCAAAGCAATTAAGCCCTTCTTCTTATGCTAGTAAGCCCCTAAACTTTAATTTTTAAAATAAATTGCTTAAGAAGAAGAAGGGCTTAATTGCTTCGATCCCAGAGTTCAAGGGCTTAACTGCATCAATTAAAGTCTAGGGGCTTACTAGCGATTTTAGGGTTAGTTCAGGGGCTTAACTTATGGTTTTGCCTAAAATAAAATAATTTGGAATTGGTTGTACAAAACAAAGACTTTGAAATTGTGGACTGCAGCATCAGATGGAGGAACTCAAGCGAGGGATGGGGATGGGAGGAGTCAACAATACGACGTCGTTTCACTTTGACTGAGTGAAAAGGCTAGAAGGCCAAGTCATCGCCACCCTCTCTCCTAATTTCCTTAAATTCTTCCTGGCTTAATCCCAACCTACTTCTGTTTGAATAGATGACAGCATCAAATAAAGAGATTTCAAATCATTTAAGCTAGAGTTTGTTTTGTTTATCATACGATCTGAAGGAAAACATTAGGAAACGTTTAAAAGTGGGAAAGGAGTATGATCGAAAATAATCAAGGCATTCGTTTTTATGTTTTTTAATTTTTTTTTGGTGGGCACCTAACTTACCACTTTTTGTTAATTAAGTTTTTTTTTTTTTTTGTAAATTATCGATTAAAGTGAATCTGTTTGTTTATATTAATTAACCATTGAATTACCTCAAAATTAAAATTTATGCTAATTGTAAAAGTAGGAAAGTTATGAGATACCTAATACTTTCTCCATTGATTCTCTAATTCTAGTTAAATTTTTATACCATAATGGTGATTTATCCACCTCATTGGATAAATTGCGACTCAATAAGAAGTCTAATACCTAAACAAAGCGGAGAAAGACAAGGTTAATTGTTCAGTGCTTCCAGAATGTAACGTGTTGTTTATGAACCCCAATGAATATTAATGTAAAACAGTGTCATTAACGAAAATATTAGCCAAGCATTAGCAAAACAGAAAAATGTAAGTGAAAGGAATTTGCAACAGGAAAAGACAACAACCCCCCAAAAAAGAAAAAGTAAACAGTTTCCTAATTTTATTCCAATGATAGATGGAAATTACAAGTACATTTTGAACTTACTCTATGCATTTTGTAAGCCTCAAATGGCTAAAAATATGTATGCAAGTCTAATAATATTTTCCCACTTAAGAATAGTGTGCTGGGTTTGCATGTGAGTGGTGGTTGCCGGCACTGGAAGCTGATGAGAATAATGGGAA